AGCCTGCAGAGCATCAGATGTACCCAATCTTCTCCTGAAACCAAACTGGTGGGAGGTGAGGAGCTGATGGTGTTCCAGATGGTTTGTAACCTGGCTGTTCACAATAGTCTCCATCACCTTCGAGATGATGCTCAGCAACGAAACAGGGCGGTAGTTCTTGAGCACAGAACGCGAAGCCTTTTTGTGGATAGGACCCACGTTTGCCGTTTTCCACATCTTGGGTTGAATGCCTCGCCGGAAGCAGAGGGAAAACAGCTGACACAGTGGTGAAGCTAGTTCTTTGGCACACTCCTTGAGCACCCGGGCAGATATTTCATCCGGTCCCGATGCCTTTGACGTATCCAGTCTAGCCAGAACTCGACGCACTGCTTCAGGTCGGAAGTGAATGGTACTGATCGGTTGGGATGTGGGCAAGTCGTGGGGAGGGAGATCAGCAGTGGAGATATCGTCGCCGGGGATGCTACACTTCTTTGCAAAGAAGCGTCCAAATGCCTCCGATTTCTCTGCACTTGTTGCGTACTCGTGGCCATCGGCGTCAGCATCAGCGGTATATCTGTATGGCGCCCCATGCCACTTGCACACTTGAGCTTTGTCCACCACTGCTTGCTGTGCATGGACCCGTTTGATAAGCTGCGGCGTAGGCTGTCCTCCTTAGCCTGACGGGCTCGGAAGAGGGTTGCAACAGCCTCATAGACAGACGTCACAAATTGTTGCTTCAGTATGACGTCCTGGGGGGAGCGCCTCCAGGACCGCCAAGGCCTGTCTTTATATATCGGTGTCAAATGGCCTAGCCCTAGCCAGCCAGGTACTACTACTAGTAGCAGTACTAGCAAGAGTACATAACCCCAAGAGGGTTATGTACTCTTGCTAGTAGGTGACCTAGGCCATGCATTTTTACCCATCAAGAGTATAACTAGTTAACCTGGAAGGTTATATACTCTTGCTACCATGCAGAGCAGACGCGTCCATAGTTCGCAACATCCGCAGGCAGTCCGTGCGCCAAGGCCCTTCACGGCTTCAGTTCAGAGACCGTTTTTCATTTTCTCATGGGAATCGTAGCCTCCAAGGCGCCGCATGGGCTTGTTTTCAGTTGATTTTCTCTATCTCCAAATGGCGTATACTTTAAAGAAATTTGCTACTTAGAGCCCTTCTAGTGTCGTCAGGAGACCTTTCCTCCACTGAAAAGATGGTTCGGAATGATGTTGACACCTATGCCCATACCCTGGAAAATTATTTTGGAGCTTGCAGTTCGTGAGCAGCCATCTGGGATGAATGTTTCATTTTTGTAATTGCTGAAGCGAGGATTATGGTCACCAATTTCACACCAGATAAGGCGCTTACTCAACGCGGACACTAAAACCGCTATGTGGTGTGATGGACCTAAGCCTTATCTTTCGGATGCATGAGGAATTGGAGTGATACCTATGTGCCCCATAAATACACCCGAAAAAACCACGTACAGGCAGTATTGTCATTTTATGAGAAGAGGCAATTGAGCATGCTCTATTTCGTCACGACTGGTTTCAGTACTTTTACTTTACTTTACTCTCAGTGGTAGATGCTCACTGAGAGTAAAGTAAAGTAAAAGTACTGAAACCAGTCGTGACGAATTAGAGCATTGTTTTTTTATTTTTCTAATCACCTACCGGTGCTTTTACCCATTCTACTTCCCCATAGCTAGATCTAGCTTTGCTTTACATTTCTGTTTCTTTTTCCTGGTGCAGGCTTGCGGCATTGAAGCCGAGACCTTTGGTCGGTGGAGCCCCTAGTACCTCACCACCACTGCTGCCCAGTGCAGCCCCTGCTCAGTAGCTGTTTGTTTTTTGTCCACATAATTATTTATTTTACGAGTTGGGTTTGTGAATAATAGTTAAAAAAAAAATTGCTGACTATGGCCAGCAGCAGTCTAAAGTTGCACCTTTCCTTCCACGCACAGCAATGCTGAATATGTCAGCAGGCTGGCCAGCTATAAAAATTATAACAGTTTGGAGGTCGGAAACGCTGAAGACGCGATCCCGTTAATATATTGCGCCAACTGCAATGAAGAAGGCCTCTTTGATTTATTACCATTTCGTGTGGATATCTATGGTGTTGTAGTCCAAGTCGTGCGGACTATAAAACGTATTAGACATGAAATAGTGAAGGTATTGCGATTGACACTGACGACAGCAAACCAACAGTGGATATCAACCACACCCCCAGCGTCATTCTGCACATCAGGAGAATCCAATACAGTCAACTTCGCTAATACCGACTGCGGACATAACGACAATTTGCAAATAACGACAGAATTTCCATGCCCAGAGCAAAGTCCCATCCTACTGTAATGAGACTTCGGGTATAACGACACTTCGCGAATAAGGACACCTTTTTGATGCCCCGCCAAGTGTCGTTATAAGCGAAGTTGACTGTACATATAGCTGCCAACTCTGATGGTATAGACCCGATAACTTCCATCTTTCTTGTTTTGTTACTCTACGATTGGTATACAGTCATAAACTAGTGCAATCTCTGTCCATATGCGTAATGCACTGTATTTGTTTCTGGTGACTGGAGGTAGTTTATCATAGCACTGTTTTTTGTTTTGTTTTGTGGAAGATGAGCATTATCATGTTAACGTTACCGGTGTCGCGGGTCATTCCACAGTCCCCAAAGGTGACGTTCTCGGCAACGGACCGACCCAGTAGGCAACTGATTAATGATAAATTTGCTGCCATTCATGATTGGTATCACGGTGCGCCACAATGGCATATGGTGCAAAAAAAAATCGGTCTTCTGGCAAGAACAAGGTGCGGTTGGTTGCCTTCATCGCTGCTGAATGAGCAAGCGATAAGTTTTCAAGTCGCTTGACGCCTGGAAAGAGTGTATTTGTGACCATCGGCACGTCTTGCATCAAGATCGCGTAAGGCCAAGACGCCACTGCAATGCAGTGGAGCCCTTGTCTAGACCTCACGTCTTTCTTCAGCTCTTTCAGTCTCTGTTCATGTGTGCTTCATATGCTTACTCTTTGGTTTTGGATATCTTGACGGACATTGTACATCATATCAGTCATGTTCATTATGTAGGATTTTACTCCAATCCTTTCTTGTTGTCCTAATTATCAACCTAGGCGGCATGCCATGCATTTTGTTTAATACAAATCAATGATTATGTAGCATAGTATACATGTACACGTATACAGAGGAATGGTTTCTTCCCTCTTTCCTATTTGCACTGCACCTTTCTGTATGTTTGAAAGGCATTTTGTCCGAACCCGGTGGTATAGATAATTTAAAAAAAACATTCTAAATTGTCTCCAATGTAATAGTTACTATGCTGTTACTATGCCGTTGCTATGGTTACAGATGTGAAACAATTTCTTCCGTATTTTATGCCCTTGCATCCTGAATCTAAAGGAAATAATGTGATTTATAGGGAGCACTAGGTGTCATGGTCAGGTTTTAGGTGTCCATTTGTTGTGTGCTCGAATTTGGAACGGGCGTGAATATTTATGGGGCCTGGATGTCGGTCTACCGTATTTCCCTGTAAGTAAGTTTTCCCCAATGACTTAGTACCCCCCTATAAAAAATACACTTTCCACTGCCGAGGTTATCACCCCGAAAGACAGTTCCCCCCAAAAGATAGTAAGTTCGTACCCGTCCTACATGTACAGACACCGTACAGTACATACATCATATCAAGAGTACAGCTGTACTCTTGATCATATGCACGGACACTAGAGTTGCGCAGGCTTCCCACTTCGTGTCATTTACCCCCGATAAATAAAGTACTCCCCGAAAGACATTACCACCCCCGAAAGTTAGTACTCATGTGGTTGCTAAGTTCGAAAGTTAGTACGTACAAACCTACGGGGAAATACGGTATTAGACTCTCTGTCAGTCAACTATGGTAGAAATACAAGTTATCATGTCCAGGGTTTCTCCCTCACTCTCCTGCAATGCTACACTCCTACATACTGCGGATGCATTTGCTGTGTTTTCACTTCAGTCACGAGGTCGGAGAAAGCCACGTTTGCCAACGCGCTGTATAACGTTGCATGCATGGCTTGCCAAAGTTGCATAAAAACGTTGTGGCCTCATGGCTCTTGCATTACATTTCTAGAATTACAGTGGAACTCACTTAGACCATACCCGGGTAAGACGTGCAAGCGCATATACAAATGCGTTTGGGAAACGACGTACCATGATAGCATTTACAACTAGTATTATGAAGGACTTTTCAGCAGGTGCAGACAGAGTGTACTCAGTACTTTTTTGGTGTTTTTCAAACACCGTTCCACTTGACAGGTTTGCACGACAGGTATTTTAGCATGTTGACAGTGTTGAGGAGGCTGTTTGCAGTGAAGGAAGCCTGGTTTGGTGTCACTAACCACGTACATGTTGCAGGGTCTAGGAAGAGTCAACTTTGGATAATAGGTACTTTAGATACTAGAGACGTTTTGCACAACTGTTTGCTCGAAAATCACGAAAAGCGAAACTTTGTGTGAGTGTTTGCTTGTTCGCAGCGCCGGATTGCGGCACAAGCCAACATGGTTATCTGTGGGTCTCCTGTTATCGACAACATATGCAAAAAGCTCTTGTCTCAGGGTGCAGCCACTCGCAGCAAATAAATTTTCAGTCGGATGAAGCTCTGTAGATCTACTGAAGGCGACTTCTCAAACAAGCACGAGTGCACTCGTATTTTTCTTGGAGCGAAAATCATGGAAAACACAAACTTCGCGCGAACATTCGCACAAATATTCGCAAGCCCAGACGCGAAAATCCATGCGAGCGTTTGCTCTGCAAAACCTCTGTACTAAGTTCGTTTTTCCACTCCCGAGGCAGTACCTCTTATCCGAGTTCCACTGCATCTCACATGGAGCCATACGAATGAATATGCCCGTCTTGCTCCAAACGAAAGCCATTACAAGCAGTGGACCATGCAATGACCCTTGAAATGACCCTTGAAATCAAGTCCCACATTTTTGTCCCTTCATAAACTAAAGCAATCAATTCACTTACCAGCACCATCAGAGAGAGCTGGCTCTCTCTGATCAGCTGGTTGTGACTGGCGGTCGGAGCTCTCATCCTTGCTGGACCTGAGAGCTGGCTCTCTCTGGTCAGCTGGTTGTGACTGGCCGTCGGAGCTCTCTTCAACGCTGGACCCTAGACCTGGATCACTCTGGTCAGCTGGTTGTGACTGGTGGTCGGAGCTCTCATTCTTGCTCGACCCTAGAGCTGGATCCCGCTGGTCAGCCGGTTGTGACTGGTGGTCGATCCTCTCATCCTTGCTAGACCTGAGAGCTGGCTCCCTCTGGTCAGCTGGTTGTGACTGGCAGTCGGAGCTCTCATCAACGCTGGACCCTAGAGCTGGATCACTCTGGTCAACTGGTAGTGACTGGCGGCCTAAGCTGCACCCTAGCCCCATTTGTGACAATACCCTTCACCAGTGTTGTCACCACACGGATACCTGAAAAACAGCAACACACAAACACAGCAACACACAAACACAGCAACACACCAACACAGCAACACACAAACACAGCAACACACAAACACAGCAACACACAAACACAGCAACACACAAACACAGCAATATACAAACACAGCAACACACCAACACAGCAACACACAAACACAGCACCACACAAACACAGCAACACACAAACACAGCAACACACAAACACAGCAACACACAAACACAGCAACACACAAACACAGCAACATACAAACACAGCAACACACAAACACAGCAACACACAAACACAGCAACACACAAACACAGCAACACACAAACACAGCAACACACCAACACAGCAACACACAAACACAGCAACACTGTCATATACTACCATGTACAGACAAATCCACACATTGTCGACTACCAGCACCTGCAGACACTTTTACACGTTAAACGGTGATTTCTGCTGATCGGATCTTACAAACACTTTTACACGTTATTCTGTCTGATTATTAGAAATCCTACGGACAGTGGGAAAATCCCTGCTTTCATCACTACATGTTTCATGTTCATGTTGCAATGGGCCAGCAGAATATATGTTCTCAGTTTTATAAATGAGAGAGCAGGTATGGATACAGTACTGGCACTAATGACAGTCCAGAGGCCTCGCTATGTTTTGTTTTTAACTAGGGCTGTAACTAGATACTATATTTACTGTCAGAAAGTGGAACGACTAGGCACAACACTGGCAGAGTACTGAGACATTCGACGACCTGACACCTAGCTTCAACACATCTCCGTAGCGCTAACCAACAGCCTTCCAACTCGGAAGGTCCAAGGTTAATTTAAGAAGATACCAAAGAGGGAAAGGCAACCGCAGCGAAAACGAGCACAAGCCACAGTCCCATGGCAACAAAGAATGTCGACTGTTACTGGGTTGTTAAACCCTTTCTGACTGTATAACAGTATCTAGTTACTGTATAACAATATCTAGTTACTGTAAAACAGTATCTAGTTACTGTATAACAGTATCTAGTTACTGTATAACAGTATCTAGTTACTGTATAACAGTATCTAGTTACTGTATAACAGTATCTAGTTACTGTATAACAGTATCTAGTTACTGTATAACAATATCTAGTTACTGTATATTAAGCTTGTAGATAGTCATGGCATCTGGTTGCTAAGTGCCAGCCAAGGAGAAGAGAAGGGTATACCTCTTTGAAAGAGTCTAAAACGCAATCGTTACTAGCCTAAACCATCTGTAGCAGCATATGTGTCAGCTTGGTGAAAAGATGATGCTCATAGTCAGTCCATGTTTGTACTTGTAACTGTGTGTCATTCATCGTGACGGTCGAGTAATCCGATTATGCCAAAGCACATATTCCCGAAAAGCAGTTCCTCATGTGCCCAGTGACGTTGCCACATTGCTTGTCAGGGGCGGATACAGGGGGGGTTCAGGGGGTTCGGACGAACCCCCTAAAATAATTTCGACTATGGGTCCAGTCGATTTTTTTGTGATATCCCCGTGCGCAGCCAGCGAAGTACTAGTAAGTGTAGCGTACATCATGGCACATGCAGCGTAGCCAGTAGACTTCACTGGCATGCATCCTGCATGCAGTAGTCACGTACAGGCAGTGCAGGTACTACGTCACTGCATGCATGCAGTGGTCGGGACTGTTGTACGCGTAACGTTCGAATCGAAGGGTCTGTACGCGTATCATGTGACTGGAAACGATCGACAGTTCAAGTGGTGGAGCAAAAGGTGGAAAAACTGCCACTTGTCCTCCTTCGTTGTCGTTTTGTTTTATTTCGCGCTGCCTGGACTGTAGGTTTCCTCCGTCGCAGTACGAAGATAATGTTTGTGTTTGTCGTGTAGTTTGCCATGTCGCGGTGGAGGAAAAGGTGGAGAAACTACCACTTGTCCTCCTTACCTTCCTTGTCGTTTTGTGTTTTTTCGCGCTGGCTGGACTGTACTCTGTAGGTTTCCTCCGTCGCAGTACGAAGATAATGTTTGTGTTTGTCGTGTGGTTTGCCATGTCGCGACGTCTGCCAAAGTGGCGAGCGGCCGATGCCAGTTGCCATTGCCGCATTGGGCTTGGCTTCGTTCCGCCGTGTACGACGCGAATGTGACCACACGCAGTCCCAGCCGGAGGACAGTCAGAGAACTTCGCCTTCCGTCAGTTCGGAAAATGCTGCAGTCACGGCCTTAGTTTCTGCCTGTGCTGCAGCTTTGTACTTTGTAAAGCTCTAAACGCATTAATACCCTTGTCTTATTGGCCAAGCAATGCAAGGGCTACAGTGACAATAAAGATTTTGCAACTCCTGGTGTAGTGAAAGAACCGAAAACAGTTTGAAGCGAATTTAATTCTGTGCACTCGAAACAATTTGAACCCCCCGTGAAAAATTCCTGGATCCGCCCCTGTAACAGTATCTAGTTACTGTATAACAATATCTAGTTACTGTATAACAGTATCTAGTTACTGTATAACAGTATCTAGTTACTGTATAACAGTATCTAGTTACTGTATAACAGTATCTAGTTACTGTATAACAGTATCTAGTTACTGTATAACAGGAAAGTCTAACCAGTCACAAAGTCTAACGTTTTAGCGGCCAATTCTTTTTCGTTATTTGAAAAATACGTTACCGATAGATGTCTGTTTAAAGATGCGCATACAGATGGGTGGCCATTGTTAAACTTTCTGCACGTTATCATGCCAAAATTACAAAAAACGTTTTTTTTTTTTAACTTTTTATTCGTTAGACTTTCCGGTTTTACAGTACCTAGTTACTATAGTATCTAGTTACTATGGTATCGAGTTACTATAGTATAAAGTTACTATAGTAACTAGATACTATAGTATCCAGTTACTATAGTAACTACTTAGTGTTGTACAGTTACTCTGAACTCGTATCCATGTGTACTTTTCATTTCTAGATTTTTATCGGCTCAACATCCGAGTTTCAAAAATATATATGCGATAATCACAATTTTATTGAAAAGACGTTTCTTTCAGTTTTATAGAAGTGTAAGAAATTGAAGTGACACGCATCATGACTTAGGTGAAAGCAAAGCATAGTGAGAGGACTGGTATTTCCAGACCACTCATTTGTAAACCAATCATTAATTTTCTGGATTCCCCAGATTCTGAATCGAGTAGTGGTGTACGGTGGATGTATTTAAATATTTTTAAATTTGTTCCATACATAACACGGGGTTTGATCCTGAACACACACTGACAGGTCAGCTACATACATAACACGGGGTTTGATCCTGAACACACACTGACAGGTCAGCTACATAGATAACACGGGGTTTGATCCTGAACACACACTGACAGGTCAGGTACATTTTACGGAGTAGTTGTATTATACTATGGTGCTAGCTTATCGTTTTTTCTTCTTCCTTTTTTTCCAATTGTTGGCACACATAACATGGTACTGAAACACGAACTATCTCCCTGCATGCATTCCTTCCATACACTTTGCACGCATACATATCCTACCACGATGGTTCACGTTATGAACCTTGCGTTGAAAGCCCTATTTGAATATTTGATCAGCTTTCTTTACTGGGATGGTAATGTAGCAGGCCAGGTATGATACGCCAGGTAATGAGGGCCCTACGGTGTACACACACACACACACACACACACACACACACACACACACACACACACACACACACACACACTCACACACACAGATACACACACACACACACACACACACACACACACACACACACACACACACACACAGATACACAACGAGAGGGCTTGAATGAACAAAAGCAACTCAATATGCTTCGTTTTAACTTTCTCCGCATCATTACAATTGTCGCTTTCTAGAGTGATTTTTCAAATTTATTTTCTCCACTCGAAGTGAAGAAGTCAGCTAGAAGTTTGTGGCCTCCCGCTGTGCTGCACTTGCGGCTGGGGTCGACGTCTTCACCAGAATTTAAGGCAGACCTTTCAGTACTCAACAAAACGGTGAACAAGAAGCGAGTTCAAATTTAGGTCATGAAACTTCGTTTTCAAGCAATCGATGCCTCCAGGTGGCGGGCGATGACGGCAAACTAGCATTTTTGAAGAACACCGTAAAGACCACCAGCGACATAGGGTAAGCAGTTCCGCACCTTCTTTCCTTGACAAGCGCTTCGCTGGTTTTGTTGGTGTTTTCAGGCCTGCTACCTTCGCAGCAACATGCGCCACATGTAACGCATTTCAGGAATTTGAGAACACTTTGTTCTTGCCATGGTCAAATTCAGCATGCCAAATTCAAGAGATATACCAGGATTCGTATCCCTGAGCCCTTTTTTTTTTTAAATTCACGATTCGCGTGGGGGGCCGGTACGAACTCCAGAAAAATGATACTCACTCTGGGCGAAATAGAGCGAAACGAGAAGAATTTGTTTGGTGCGGAAGAGAGCTCCAAAATCACAACGGCGTTCGTAACAATTGCGAGGGAAGGGTCATACCAATGTTCGAACACAGAAAACAGTGATTCCGCCAGCCTGACTAAGACAATCAAGTCACAAACATTGCGATGTGCGAAGCGACAATTGTAGTGACAAAACCTGCTCCTGATAATACGATTTTTTAAGGGGACGTGTCTCCCAGACCCCCTCTTTCTTTTCGCCTCCTTTCGGTCCTACAACTTCTTTAGAACCTGGTGGCGCCCCTGCAAAGTGATCTGTCAGGGATTAGGACTGCCCTGAAAAGAGAACAAAATGCAAACCCCAACAGGACTGGAACCTGCGACCTTGCGTGTCATGAGCATAGCTCTAACAATCTAAGCTGTGGCACTGTGCAGAACCTAGAAAGCGCTGACAACTTTTTCACTAAAATTTCAGCTCAAAAAAACTTTCCAAATAATTTTGTTTTTCTGGTGAAAGGTCACCGTTTCCGATTGGAAGAAGTCCCAAATTCTTTGGAATTTGACGAAATTATTCATCGACTAATTTTCTCTGCTTGTAAAGCACACGGATTGAGAGTGAGTGGATATTGCAGAAGCCAAAAATTCCTTCGCGTTTGAATTGCCGTTGCTGCGCTTCACTACGAACAATACAATACCATGCGGACAAATGTGAGCACACGACACGGAGTACTGTACATCAGCAGAAGCCTTTTCCAATAAATCGTTACGGGTTAGGGCTGCTGTACTACAAGAACTCAGCGCACACCTTCAGTGAAACATAGGGACTGAATGGGAAAAGCTTACCTGACTTCAAGCCAGGGAGAAGCACCTGCTCCCGATAATGGCCGGGTGGTTCCTGTCCGCCGTCCGCTATTCTGGTAACGTTGACACGGACGATTGGTAGTCCCACAAATCTAAACGCCACCTGCCGATGGGCAGGTAACGAACGAAAGCGCTTCACTTCCGCAACCAAATTGCGACGGAGCGTCACTTAAATTCCCAGAAAAGAACAATATGAAGGGCCGCAAGCAGAACACGCATCCGCCCAGAACACCCACAGACGGCAACGAGCAAGAAAAAAACGATTCCGCATTCAACTAAAGCACGGACGGTGCAGCAGTCCAAGATCCTCTCTACACGTTCGCTGCACGCTCCAGCGGCCAGAGCTCTGTGGCTTCATTCATCTGTCTGATCTGACAGAAGATGTAGATCTAAGCGTAGATTATGTACATGACTGTACAACATGACATCAGATTCTACTGCCTGCTCCACACTACAAAAGTACAGTGCTACTCGTGTACATCCATATGTAGGTCTACATAATCATTGCATGCGGGCCGATCTTTCCGCTGACAAGTCAGTGACATGATGCTCCCATACCAACTACGAAATGAAGCCGACTGTCTGTGTCGCCAGAGCAGAGCTCTAGACTAGAGGCGGACTAGCTGTTCAAGTGTCATCACATGCAACAGTGCTAGTGAGCGATGTCGCCTGTACTAAAAATTATGTAGACCCTACAATACTCAACATGCAGGCCTGTTTGCTCACCCACGTACACGTCACGTGGTACACAGCCGGGATAAATCGTAGTAGAAGCAAGGCAGGGCAGAAGAAATGAGATCCTTTTTTTTTACAGGCAGTATATACAGCCAAGGCAAAGGCAAAGGACGTAAAAAGGCTGGCGGCATCCACAGCAGCACTCTACAGAACACATCATCATCATGCATGTACTGTCGTGGACATGGAAATCCGGTCGCACGTCTAGCGGCCCCAGGGCGCTGGCCATGCAGCCATGACACGCATTACTTCGCGCTGCTGCTAGTCGCATCGCGTATCGTATCAACATGTGCGCTGCATGCAACGACGACGTTTTAGAGGGTTTGGAAACGTGCCTCTAATCACGCGTACAGCAGACAATGTTCTTTTAACAATTAACTCCCAGTATCGAGTCAGCGAGAATCGGTATATTGCTCACAGCAAATGGCAAGGAGATAGTCCAACGAAGGAAGAATTCTACGTGCAGAGACAAACCACAAACTACTGCCAGAAGTCCAGAAGTGGAAAAAAGCAAGAAGAAGAAAGCCTGAGCCGACTTTCAATGCCCGAGCTAGATCCTCGTAAAGGATACTTGGGGGAACAACAACAAAACACATGTATACAAATATGGTAGAGTACATAAGCATGTAGCAGAGTTCGCAGGAAGTGGTACATCTGCGCAGCGTTCCGAGGGTCATACGTAGCCTGGTACTCTACGTAGCCGACAATGGCAATATGATAAAGGCTACATCTTTTAAACAAAATGTTGCCGCGCAGAAGCTTGAGAAATGTACAAAATTACGAAATCGCGGAACGAAAGATAAATCGCAAGAAATCCGTGCAGGCACTACTCGTTCAAGGCGAGTAGCAAGCGCACTTTACGAAGGCGACTCTGAAATCTCGTGAGCCGTGATCCACGTGACTTGGCATTCTTGCGTCACAAGGCACGTGATTTCACCGTGCCTCTTGTAGTAAAATTCAAAAACTGTGATCAGGTCTTCAGTCACTTTTGCATCAACAGTCGCACAGAAAATTATTGGTGGCGCAAGGAGAAGCTTGTCGTTTGGAGTGACAAGTGATCGCCGCTGCTTTTCCTTGTCGGAATCAACAATACACTTTGTTCTGCGGCCTTGGGAGTAGTGTCGGAGTAGAAATTGCTGAGGAGACGTCGCGGAGGGGCGAGCTTTCCTGCGCAGGTATGACTTTGGCCGTAATTCAGCATGGTCGAGTGGAAAAACTCAAAAAAGTTTATTTCAAGAAAACCCCAAAAGGAAGACGGGGGACATGTCCTCAGCGCTAGAAGAGGTGTTCTACTATCTGGCGGTGTATAGTTCTGGCCAATTGAGGACGTAGCTGGCTGTTTTGCCAGCGCTTGTAAATTGGCTATTTTCAAGACGATCATTTGTGGCATCACGGGTGATTGACCTTGTCTTCTGGGATCCTGGCGTGGCTAAGGCCGCGGTCACACATGAAAAGCTTGCACCGCTTTTGCGGAGGCGGAAAGCGGAACTACCGCAGCCGCTTTGGCGGACCACACGATGCAGCGGTCACACATACATGTAGACTACTGTGCTCCTCAACGCTCCGCTTTGGCGGAGAGAATGCAAATGCAGCACGTCCTATAAAATTTTAGATGTTCTTGTCCGAGTTGAAGCGACCTTCGCTTGTACAAGTAGAGCTATCGTGGATCGCTGACAGGCTAGGCTGCTGAATGTCTCCTGTCAAGTACACTCGTGGATTTGGGGCGCATTCACTGCGGCCCAGTACAGGTGTATTTTGAATATTACTAGTTTGGTTTACATCAATATCAAATTCAAATAGTTGTATAGTAGGGTGTCGTTGCCTCCTTCTTGTCCGAGTTGAAGCGACCTTCGCTTGTACAAGTAGAGCCATCGTGGATCGCTGACAGGCTGCTGAATGTCTCCTGTCAAGTACACTCGTGGATTTGGGGCACATTCACTGCGGCCCAGCACGGGTGTATTTGAATAGTTTAGTTTACATCAATATCAAATTCAAATAGTTTTATAGCAGGGTGTCGTTGCCTCCTCCATGATCCATCATCGACCCAGCGACTGCGTGGATGCCTGCAGTTGCAGTGAGGGTGTGGCAGAGTACTCTACTACTCCCTGGTTGCAGTCCTAGTGTTGCATACTCTGGTGGACGTATTGCTTGGAGAGAGTTGGAGATCGTCCGCGATCGGGGCCAATGAGTTGGGAGACGGATTCCCTCACCAATTATCCACTCATAACGATGCAGTATTGTTTGCGAGATCTCCAGAACGTACAGCTCATTGGCAAAGAAGAACAATATGAAAACTGAATACCAAACGGCAACCAAACAACGCCAGAACTCAGTGCAGAAGTAGCACACCAAACTCCAAAGCCATCACCATGCAGGTTCCGCCAAAACGGATCCGCCGAAGCGGAGGGTCCGCTCGCATTTTTTTTGGCGTAGCGATATCCAAACTTTCCGCCAAAAAAAGTGCATGTGTGACCGAGGCCTAAGCGGTACTGCTCCAGGAACTCTTCTAAGGTGAGGCAATGTTGGCTTGATGGAGTTTTGTTCATATAGTCCGTGAGCCAAATCTCAGAATCGGCCGTTTTAGCATCGACCGTTGCACCCAGAGATGGACAAATCGTCCTTCTGCACACCGCTTCACGATGGTATCCTGAAGCGATTTCCACTTGTTGGACAGTTCGAAACTGATCCAGGGAGGTCACAGAAGACGCCAAACATCCAACTTTGTTCACTGACAGCAGCGGCCATTTTCGCCTTCTTCGCTTGATTTTTTTTCCGCTTGTTCACGGATTCTCATTTTTTGAAGCCACGAGCAGATACCACGAGTGCACATAACGCGGAAACCAGTGCACAAAACTAGCTTCGAATTTTTTTGCCGCTGAGAATTATGAATCGGGATCATGCATGCAAACTGCATGCAGCAAAGTCACTACTGTTTGTAGTTACAATGCAATCATTCAGAACTGACTTCCAAGAATGTCCTAAATATCTCTCGACATATTTGTTCACCACTTCCTAGGCCAATAGGCGTAGTAGACTGTAGTGAGTAACCTTCTGGAGCAAATGACGACTGCCCCGAGCATGAACTTCTTTTCATCCTGTTCAAGGTCAAATATTACTCAGTTTGCGTTGAAGAATAACAATTACATTCGTGAATGGCCGAACTGAGAAAACCCTCATGATTTCTCTTGGATTTCGTATCCCAAGTTCCTCTACTTGGCTGGATAAATCGCCTCTTGATTTCATCATACTGGACTGGAACTTGTAGATAATTGCGAGCAATGAATTGGTGAGTGAAGTATATTTCAAAAGTAATAACCACTCGATTACTGAATAGTAGTGAATACGTAGAATACTCCAGTATTATAATGATATGAACACTGAAGCTAATGTGACATTACGGTAGTACAATAGGAAGTACGTCACCACTGTTGTAAATGCACGCGCTGATCCTATCCAACCTGACGGCCAATACAAGAGGTTGCAATTGGCTATTGATTTCCTAACACACTCATACAGCACCAAAAGCCATCTGTCATTGCTCATTTTCAACTCAACATAACACAGTTGCAAATCACCAGGTGCACATCTTGGCACATAATGTGTGCTGTCGCAGTCCACCGCAGAACATAGTAATCCACAGATAACTACCGATATAAGATGATGTCACATACATACATACATACATGCATGCGCGCGCACCCACACGCATGCGCGCGCACACACACACACACAAACACACATGAAGCAGCTGAAGAATCCGACTATGCAGTCTCCCAGGCACGCGCACACACACGAACCAGCTGCCGAATCCAACTATACAGTCTCCCAGGCATGCACGCTCGCACACACACACACACATGAACCAGCTGCCGAATCCGACTATGCAGTCTCCCAGGCACGCGCGCACAAACACGCTTATGCGCGCGCGTGTGCGCACACACACATGAACCAGCTGCCGAATGCGACTATGCAGTCTCCCAGGCACGCGCGCGCGTGCGCGCACACACACACACACATGAACCAGCTGCCGAATCCGACTATGTCAGTCTGCCATGACTGCGAAACCAGCAAAGACATACGGTGCATTGGCTGCTGCCAGACTGGTCTGCTACAGGTTTGCGACGCTCTTGAGTACACTTGTGGCGTGGCAGGCCGCTCTTCGAAAAGGAAATGTTACAAATACTACACTGAATCCGATCACGGGAGGCCGGCTGTGGTGGTGAAGCAATTCTGAATGCTGTGCGCCACTCTCCTCGCTGCTGTGCAGTGTCGAACCAATGTCCTTCAAGATGTAAGTGATGGATGTCTCCTCGGACAACATCACACCAATGAGGTCGGGTTTCACACACACACACACGACGCACACCTTGTCGACAATTGCGGAATCTAAAACCCACCAACGACCTGAAACACGGATCGCACTGGCTGCAGTGGCTGTGGCAACACCGTGTCCCAACACCAGTAGTAGCCTGGGGTGGTGTCACCAACAAAGGAAAACGCCTAGCACGCACATGCACGCACGCGCGCGCACACACACATGTACGCTCGCACACACATGCACGCTCGCACACACATGCACGCGCATGCACATGCACGCACACACACATGCACGCGCCCACACACAAACACGCGCACACATGCACGCTCGCACACATGCACGCGCGC